CTACAACCCAAACCCTATCTGACTTCCCCTTGACGTGACTCAGGTTTTAGTTGGCCTTCTGTGAATCCCAAATCTTTCTCTTAAAAATGTTAAGACACTGTATTGTCAGTCCAATTTGTAATCGTGGCTTCTGGTCCCTGTTAGCTAAAGGAAGAGACTAAGCCACAGGAGAGACCCATGTCGGTGGGATTTAGAGAAGGACAAAACTTCCAAAGTCTTCTAGTTCCAAGTGTTATGGTGAGTGGCTACTAAGAGTGCCTTCTGCAGTATTAGCCAGCAAGGAATACCAAAAATAAAGGCCTTTCTTCTCTGGGACTTGACAGGGGCCAAGCACTTTTTCTTGGCGCTTTATTCATGCACTGATTTATTTAATTCTCATAGTGATCTCTCAGGTACACACTGTCCTTATTGCCATGTTTCAGGTGAACAAACTGAGTAAGAGAAAGCAGGAAACTTCCCCAAGGCCACAGGATAAAGCAGGAATATAAATCTGCGGGTACTGATCTGTGGTTGAGTGAAGATCTGAGTGGTTCCAGAGTTGTTACTCTTACCACCTCTGCTATATTGTTTCAACCAAAACGTGGGATGAAGCTAACAAACTATACAGAGTAAGGGAAAATTTTCTGAAGAGCAAAAACTTCACCTATTTGTACAATGCACACACCTTCCATCAACATCTGGGTGAAACTCAAAAACGACAGACTTAAGTGGGCAAGATACATCATGTTAACTATTTTCTTTAAATCACATTCACTTTGGCGGAGTCCCCACCCCAGTCCCATTGGCCTCAGTGAATTGGGGGCCTGTCCCTACCCAGCATCGTGGAAAGGCTCTGGGCTCCTATAAGCAGGGGAACATTTTGGAGGGCCCTGGCTGCCCGAGATCACCAGCCACCCACAGCCCACACCCACCTGGCTCCTTAGCTCCAGAGTTTCTGCTGCCTTCCTGTCGCTCTTACATCCGCCAATCTGTGCTGAGGCTGAGGGCTCCAAGGGGTGGGGGTGGGGGGGGGTCCTCCGCTCAAGGCAGACCACACAACCAAACCTCCATCTCCTCCAACATTTCCCAGCTGGACTTCCTCACCCCCCTCTGTTGAGACCAGCACAGCTCTGTCCCCTCCCAGCGTGACCTCCACAAGCACAGGAATGTTGCTTGTTTTGTTGATGTCCACTCAATGCCTAAGCCAGAGCCCAACACACAGATCTGTGCTCCTTCTGCCCCTCCCACCCCCAGCAGGCCCCCTGCCTCCCCCGCCCCCCGCCCCCGGCACCATCTCTACAGTCATCTCAGGCCTGGGGCACAGAAAAACCCAGAGAACAGGACAGCGAAGGTTCTCATCCTTTTTCATTTTCCATCAGCAGCAGAGACAGAACCTAAACCAATGTCTCAGTAAATGATCCTGCGCTTCGTGGAATGGCTGAGTGTTCAGTACTACATACCCATCTTCTAGTGGTGGGGAGAAAAGATAAGCGTGAAGGTACCCGTAGAGAGTTCAGAGGCCTTCCCTCCTAAAATGACGAAGTTTGAGAGGTTCCTCTCTCTAGTCCCAGGATGACGAGCTAGCACTCACACACTTGAAGGGATCATTGACGCTCTACAACACTCGTTCCACAAAAGAGCTCAGTTTTCACTGTGGGGGAGGCTGGCAAAGTTCCACTGCCCGCCAAACTCGGCCAGATAATAGGACGAGAGACAGAGAGAGGCACAGGGGGAGACAGACACACCGAGAAGCAGAGACACGTTGGTTGGCTGGGGACAGAAACAAGCGCTGACGTCCCAGACCCACAGCGCTACGCAGACACCCAGATAAGGCTCTCTGAAGGACATGGAGAAGGAGCCACTCAAAAGGACCTACGAGAGTTAGGACACCCCAGCGCTGAACTGCACATTAAACGTTCTATCAGTCCCCAGACTTAACTAATTTCACATTGAAACAGGAGCTATACTACTGAGGCACCTGGGGCGAAAACAATTTCATTTAATGGGCCAGGTTATTGCAAACCTGCTTCAAGCTCAGCCACTTAAAGGAGTAACGTATTTGCAATGCAGTCCTCTGCCTTCCCCGGGCATTTCTCCATTCACACCAGGTGCTTTGAAGTTGCCCCCTGAGAGCGCTCCCGGTTCGGGCTGGCGTATAAGCTGCCCTGGCCTCTGCTTTCCTGGCCCTTCTGGCACCTGCCTCCTGGCTTGCAGGCTTGACTTACAGACTGTTTCTTGAAAGACCTGTGTAAATCTATCACATGAGAACAGATTGGGGCATTTGCTTTATAAATTGGTCTGATGGTCAATACTGAGGTTCAGAAAAGGTGGCTTTTGTTAAGTTGGTTGGTTTGCTTTGTTTAATGTAACTAACTCACGCCATCAAGGTCCCTGGGTTTGGTTGGTATGTTGTTATTTTTGCTTCTCTCCCCACAGCCCAAATGGAATAACTCCAAACCCTCTGAGGCGCTTTCAGACCAAGCACTCCGTCCCCTGTAAGAGGAGGAGGACGTTAGGTTGTGTACTCCTCAGGGAAACCCTCAGGAAACTGCAGGGTCGCTGAATCATGTGGGACCAAGAGCGGGGAATTCTCTAGCTTTTAGACGTGTCACCTTGAGCAGGTAACCTGAGCGTGATGAGCCAACCTCATAGGGATCATGATGAGGAAAAAAATAAAATGATGAACGGTATGTTTAATCAGCAACACACCAAAGGCTCGCTGCCCCGGGCTCTCTGCCAGGCCCCGGAGTCCGGAGCCCGGAGTCCGCGGTGGGGAGGAGACTGCGGACCCTCCGTGAGGGCGGGACGGGGAAAGCATGCTCTCGCTTGCCTGAGGGGCTGCAGTAACAAAGGAGCACAGACTGGGTGCCTGAAACAACAGAAACGTTGGCCTCGCAGCGTTGGGGTCCCAGCCCGGGACCAAGGTGTAAGGAGGGCCGGTTCCTCCTGAGGGCTCTCAGGGAAGGTTCCAGGCCTCTCCTCCGTTGTCGATGGCCGTCTTCACACGGCCTTCCCTCGGTGAACGCCTGTCTCCCGAAGGGTCCCTCTCATCAGGGACACCAGTCATACGGGTTAGGGCCCACCCTAGCGATTTTGTTTTAATGGACTGCCTCCGGGAAGACCCTGTCTCCAAATAAGGTCACATTCTGAGGTGCCCAGGGTCAGGACTTTAAAATATAAATTTTAAAGGACACAGGTCAACCCGTGAGGATTTATGAATGCTGTAACTGCAACCTGAAGGGACTTAATGGGAATATGTGAGGTAGAAATATCGGTGTGTGTGGAGGGGCATTGTGAGGAGAGCAGTGGAGGACCGTCATGGTGAGCGGGGGCATCTGAGCTGAGGCCTGAAGGAGCCAGAGCCAGGCCAGAGGCGCTGAGGGGTCACTGTCGGGTGCCCAGGGCCCTCGGGTGCTCAGGGCCCACAGGTGCAGAAGCATGAAACTGGGCAGCTAGTTTGATCAACAGAGAGGCGGCACCATGTGCAAAGGGGTGGGGGGCAGGGCCCAAGGAGACCTGTGATGAGGTGGATATCATGGGGATGGATCTCAGAAAAGGCAGAGGTCAAAAACACAAGGCCATGTCACACGGGTTTGTGTTTACATGTCACTTATATGAAGAGGGGACGGAAAGCAGAGGAGCCAAAGGAAACTTCCAGAATGAGGAAGCAGTTCTATATCATGGCTGGGGTGGCAGCTGCACTACTATATACAATGATCAAAACTCAAAAAGGTGGGCACTTAAAGCAGGTGATATTTATTCAGTGTACATAGTGACTTCCTGAGAAAGGAGCCCACGCACGCACTTCGGCCCACGTGCAGCCTCGGTGAGGACGCGGAGGTGGACGCGGTGATGGGGGTGTTGCATTTTGGGTGTGAGAGGGTGGCCACTTGGACGGGGGTGGCAACAGCGCAGGTGGGAGGGTGTGAGGCGTGTTTTGAAGGTGGGACCAAGAAGAGTGGCCGAGGCACCTGCTGAGAGGGATCTGGGGAAAGAAACCCTCAGGGCAGACACCTGGGGTTTCGGCTTTGCCAGCGGAGGCGACAGTGGTCCCACAGCACACAACGTGCTGACTGTGAGATTTCAAATGAGCGTCAAACACTGTCACGTTGGAGACCCCTGCCTCCCTGGGTAGAGGACACCCTAGGAAGAGCCCCCTCCCAGCCCTGTCCCTCGGGGACTAAGGGGGCAGGAGCAGGGGCTCCCAGCCACAGGGGCCTGAGCATCGCCTGGGGGTGTGTCCACAGACTCCCGGCCCTCCCAGCCCATGGTGTGACTCAGGAGCTCCAGGGTGGCACGGACGAACGGGTCATCAGGTGAACAAGACCACCCCAGGCCCATGGGGGCGAGAACCTGAGGGCTGGGAGGAAGGGCACAGCAACCCCGATCCCACGACAATCTGCAGCCGACCCTGGGATGAGACGCAGGCTCTGTCTTCATCTGAAGCCACGGCGCTGGGGGAGCTCTGAGCCCAGGGGCCTCTCTGCACTGGTGTCGACGACACTGAGCCAAGCACTCAGTGTCGCCTACCAAGGACGCACAGGCTACCGCTGGGGACTCCGTGGTTCCTCAGCAGATGGGCTCCTGCCACGGGGCCATCAGAGCGGGGCCCTGAGTGTGAGGCCGCAGCACAGCCTGCCCGCCCCGCCCCCTCCCGGCTTGGCCTGTGAAGCCCACGCACATCCCAATGACTTTCACTTCTCTGGACGGCCCACAGCGCATGATCCAGGTGGGAGGTTTTATTATGTTTTGCAACCATGAAAACAGAGGAAGGCGGCTTGGACAGCAAACACTGCAGACAGAAGAGTCAACCGAGCTGCACCCACCCCACCCTGGCGCCTCCTTCCCCAAGTCTCCCAGAGATGGTTCCTGCGTCCTTCCTCGGCGAATCCAACGAAGTGGAGCGTGAGCATTTAAAGTCGCAGGAACCATCGGCAACATGGAAGCGGACGGGTCACTGTGAGAAAAAACGCATGGGAAACACACTACAGGAAACTTCTCCTACTGCGCGATGATGTTGGGGTGGGAGGGTGCGCCTGGGCTCATCGTCCGTCCCCCGGGGCCCTGGTCATACAGGGCCCTCGGTGATCCCCTCCAGCGGCAGGGTGGGCGCGCTGTCAGCAGGCGAGCTCTCCTCTTTCTTCAGCGAGGTCGGGACTCGGAGACTGACGTAGGGCTTGTGACAAGCTGTGTTGGCCAGGGGCGGGTAGTGCTGTCTGTAGCAAATGTAGGCAAGAATGAGGCCGATGACTCCGCCAACAAAGGAATCTAGGCAGGAAAGAACAAACATGGGAGAACGGGTTACCATTCACTCAAACGTGGCCAGAAAGCTCCTTTCCCACCTGCTCCCGACACTGGCTTGCTGATCGGGCCCCTGACAGCCTGAAGGAAAGAGAAACGACGCTGGAGGTACAAATCTTGGTGGCCTCTGCAAACTTTTCTAGAACTTGGTAAACATCCCTTTGTAATGTGTCCTCGATTCCTTCTTTTGTCTCCTTACTCTGCACCGGAGCTTATCGCATGAGCTCAGATCTGCATTCTTGATCTTTAAAAGCAATTCGAAATTCTGGAAGAAGGACCCCAGCCATCTCTGTCGGATCTCACTACCGCGGAGGGCTGTAATTGCTTTTTCTTTAGCAAGCTCCTGCCGGAACCCCTGCATTAATGCTGGGGCGCCACAGAAACCCAGCGGGCACGCCGGTCGCTGCCGGGCAAAAAGTGATTTCCCAGGGAAGAAATGAACCTTCTGAGTCACAAAGCGAATAAAACATTTCATGAGACACCAGGATTGGCAAACTCAACACACCGCCTGTGGGAGAGGCCCGCCCCCTCCCCTCCATAAGCTGCAGAGCTCCTGGGGGCAGGCGAAGGGGAAGGGATGGGGAGGTGGAACAGGCCCCTCCACAGGGGGCAGCCCCTTGCCTACAAGGGCATTCAGCTGGTGCCTGACAGAGACCCCCACGGGAGCGGCCCGCCCAACGACCCTCAATGAGTGTGTGTGTACACGTAGGCACACGGGGGCATGCTTCTGTGTCTATGGATTATTCTTGCCCAAGAGATCGCCTAAGACATCTTAGTATAATGGCATTCTTCCCCTAACGAAAGGACTCGGAACTCTTTTGTGAAGGTCGCCGTCACGCTGAACGTCATTCTCCGTTCCACATTTACCACGCTGGATGGCGCCCACCTCCACCGGCAGGTGCGTCGGCCCCGTTTCACACCATCAACTCAGGCTCGGAGAGGCCGATGGAGCTCTCCACAGACACGCCCCTTGTTCATGATGTAACGGACTTGGACTCTGGTGTCCTGGCCCTGCACCTGCGCTGCTCGGTGGCGCTGTGCTTGTTCCCTGACAGGTTCATCCCAGGCCTCTTGTGTTCAGCTTCCAGAAGGGCGCAGGCCATGACGGAAGGTCTGTCCACCTGGGCTCCCTTAACCCCTCAGTGCTCAGGGTAAGTCTCTGAACACTTCCCAGCAAACAACACGCTGTGTGCTGACCTCGGTTTCAGCTGCTTCTTCTGTGTCTGCTGCCGGGGGTTTGGGGGTGGGTGTCAAGGAAATGTATCTTTCAAGAAAACAAACTGTTTAATCTTCAGGTATTTGCACCTCACTTATTTTTTTTTTTTTTGAGCCTGTTATAGATATTCTCACTCCATCTAGATATAGTGGGATAATTTTTGAAGAAAAGGATTTTATCTTCTTTCATCTTTTGAAGAATTGTTTTTACTAGACCAATAGTTAAAAAAAATTTTTTACAGTTCTACAACAAAGAGCTTTAATCTCTTTTTAAATAAGTTTAGCAATTTAGTGCGTGTAATTTTACTTACACACAGTGGCAACAGGTCAAGAACACGGGCATTTCTGCGAGGGCTGCATGAAGGTCCCCTGCGGGTCCAATCGCTGCTCTGGCAAGTGGTGTGGACACAGCAGCTAATGACGGGTTTGTTTTAAGTGCAAATAAATGAGGTCATTCTCCTGATTAAAATCCTGCCCCCTGCTATCAGGGAACTGACCAAGACAGCTGCTGTCTTCCCTCGCTTCTCAAAGGTGCCTGCTTTTCCCCTCTTCTTCCTCTTCCTACGCACGCTCCTCTCTTCTGTCCACTCTCTTCCCTGTTCAATGTCTTCTCATCCTTCCGAGCTCAACCCAGCCTCGCTGTGCAACAAGGCTTCGCCTGGGCTCCGGGCTGGACCGCGTCTCCCAGGTGCACACTCTATTATCCCTTCCCCGCCCCACGTGCAGTCAGAATGAAAAATAAAGACACGCTGTAACAGTTCAGTGTTTCAGGTTGGATTCTAAATGCCATGAGTGCAGGGGCTGCGCCTGTCTTGCTGCCTGTTGATACCTGAACACCTGGAACAATGCTTTGTTCGTGTGGAATTAACTTGGCTGAAGGAAATGGGTGGATGAGTATGTGCACAGGAACTGGCTGCTGATGTCTGTGTGTCCTTGCATGGGCCCCTTTCGCCTCTCCGGGCCCCTGTTTCCTCATCAGTAACATAAGAGCATCAAACAACTGCACGGAGGACAACAGGCCTTCCCTTGTGAGTGATCTAGGAATTTGACCCCTAGGGTCAGCCTACGGAGGCCAAGCATTCAAATTAGTTGGAAACTCTGGCAAGGTATATTTAGAAAGCAGGTCATCTCCCTGGTGGGGATAAAGCACCCCTTAGAGACCAGTCACTCTGACTGGCCCAAGGCAGAGGCTGAATACCTATGGCTACTTTCTCTCTGTCGCTGTTCAAACACAGCCAGACTGTGTGGCCTCCATCTGGCAGGCAAGGAAACCACATTGGAGCCCACCTGGCCGAAAGGGAAGACCATCTGAGAGATAACAATGAAACCCCAAAGCCCATCCCTGCTCCCAGTACAGGCTCTTGGGACTGAGGGAGAGGAAACAATTTTCTTCTACCCTTCTAGGTTCTTTCAACTGGTCTAATAATTAAGTCAGCATGATAGATTAATAGGAGAAAATGACCAAATTTAATTACAAAGGTCGGTACAGGAAACCCACATACATGAGAGTTAGAGACCCCACATACACGACAGGTTCAGAGACAGACAGGTAAAATGAGGTCTATGTGGCATCCTGAGCTAAGGCTGGTAAGAGCCCCGGACTTCGCAGCGGAGGAGAGTAACTCACAAGTCGGTAAGAAGGGCAGGCCATCAGTAATTAGATGTCTGCCCTGTCATGTAAATAAGTGATAAAAGTTATTTCTGGTAATAACTCATATTATGGGCAAGGCCCCCCCGTTTAGATTCTTCAAGGTAGTTAAGGGAGGTACAAAAGGTTCTCCTGAACATTCAGCTCAAAATAATCTGCATGCAAAAGCGTCGCATCTTAGGAAGGGGTGTTCTGAACCCCTGTGGGGCTTTGGCAAGGTATCCAGGGCCTGCCTTCCCCCTCCACCTGCGAATCCTCTGGGCTGAGGCACTGCAGCCCCGACCAGGGCAAGTCACTGCCCCTGTGAGCCTCAGTTTCCCGGCTCTCAGACCCAGACCTCAGTATCTACCTCACTGAGTTGTGATGACAATTTAATGAGGCCATTCTTCTACAGATTATGCCACAGAGAACGTTACAAAATAAAACCTGAAAATATATTGTCTAAAAAATATAGTGCCCATCACTGTTACCCTTATTCTGTTCCTTTCCGAAACTACTGGGATCTTTCTAATCTTTTCCCATCCTTCCCCGGACATAGCAACGCACCAGTCTAGAGTTCTAATCTCTTTAGAATGGCCAAACTTCAAAGCTTTAAATACACTTCTCATGAACTTACAAAATATGTGCCACCCAGGACATGGAAAAGTAACATGTACCATGTATTCCTGAGTGGGGTCAACAAGGCGTAACTTGTGTGACTGAATTAAGTCCCTCAAATGGAGAAGCTCTTCACGTAGCCTGCAGCCAGCAGCTTTATCTAGGTCAAGGTCGTAGAGTCGCACTATTGTTTTGTTTTTCCTCCAACCACAGGGAACAGCCACACGGGGTGTTGTTTTTATTAACGTCTGAAATGATCCACAGCATCAGCACTGGATCTACTGACTAGTGAACAGGCCAAACAGCAACAATTACAAATAACACAATTCAACCTCCTATTTTCTGTGACATGGCATTTCGTTAGGTGCATCTCTGACCAAAACATCAGATCATTCCAGGTATATGTTCCCCCGGATCACTGATGAGGCTGCAGGCAAGGGCACGGTGACTCCTGTGGGTGAGATTTTCCCGTTCAGTGGAATGAGTGAAAGTGGGAACTCAGGTACGGTCAGAGTTTTCAGAAGTAGCCAGGGCAACGGAAAGTCTAGCGGAGCTGCCTTCACAGCAAAGTTATTTGGAGCTTTATTACAAAGGTGGTGAACGAGATCCAAATAACTGCTTACTTTATGGAGGAGATGGTCATCAAGGGCCTCGAGGGGGCCGCTGTTGATGAGCTCACACTCACATCCTGCAGGGCGTGTGCTGACAGGGAAGTGGGTGGGGAAAAGTGGGCAGAGGGCGAGCAGAGTTTTACTAGGGGGAGAAACCCACTTGGGATTGACTCCACCCCAAATACGGCAGCATGGGACTAGAGGATTCAAAAAGGGAATACACGGATCTCAGTGTCCCCAGCGAACAAACAACGGCAGACTTCTTACTCAGCATGGATGTCATCTATTCGTCACACCTGTACTGCCCGGTGTCAGGGGTCGGGTGTGCTGCCTGATCCTGAACAAAACAGATTAGCTCATAGTCCTGAATAGGAGCAGCCTCCCCGATGAGCTGCAGCTGGGATCCGTACCGTGAAGGGGAAGAGCAGGTCTCTGAGGCCACCCGCTGGAGCGGCCTGGCTGGCCTGGAGGGGGGTTCCAAGGAGGACGTGACCCACAGGCCACCCTTGCAGGGAGAGCAGGCACGGCCGGGGGAGTTGAGAAGTGGAGGCAGGGCGAGCACCTGCAGGCTTCCGGGCAGGAGAAGGGAGAGGCTCGGCAAACTCAAGGCCCTGCAGGAAGGCCCGTCTCCTGCCCGAGGGGTAGCGTCTGTCGTTGAGCAGAGCACACGTCAGCCAGGCTCTGGGGCGGGCCAACATCGCTGAGCTGGCTGACGTGGGACGTGCATGGCTTGGGTTCCATGGCCCAAGATACTCAGGTAAAAATCAGGTCTGGCAGATTCGAGAACCTCATGTGACAGTTTCTGTTCTTTTTATTCGGTTACCAGTAAAGTTCCCTGTTTCTGTGACTTCGAGTTTGTTTAAAAGAACTTACACAGCACGGAGCATACAGAATCT